GCTTAAGTGCCCCCAGATCTCTGATGGAGAATCTTCTAGACAACTCACACTTTAGGGTGCTCTCTTCATCCACATCACTGCCAAACACAAACAGATCATCCACATGGATGGCCACATAACACAGTTTGCCTTGACCTTTATTCTTAATATAGACACATGGGTCACATCTGGATCTATGATACCCTAATTCTACAAGTGCCTCATGAACTTTTATGTTCCAGGCTCTAGACGCCTGTTTCAGGCCATAAATGGCCTTGGACAGTTTCCAGACTTTGTTTGGGGATTCCTCATCCACATACCCCTCTGGTTGCTCCATATACACAGTCTCCTCCAAGTCACCTTTTAAAAAAAGCTGTACATACATCCAGATGTGTCATGCTATAGTTCAGCTCATTGGAGAGGGCAATGAGCAGCCTAATGCTCTCCGATCTCACCACAGGAGCGAAAGTCTCATCATAGTCTTGGCCATACCTTTGAGAAAAACCCTTTGCAACAAGCCTTGCCTTATTCCTTTCCAAAAAACCTTCAGCATTCATTTTTGCTTTATAAACCCATCTGCATTTTACTACATTTGCTTTGGGAGGTCTGTCAACTAATTCATACACACTGTTGATTTTAAAACTATTGATTTCTTCATCCATAGCTGACTTCCACTGCTCACAGTCTGGTCTCTCCGCAACATCCCTAAAAAATTCAGGTTCCGCTGGCAGTCTGCTCCCAGCAGCCTTATAGCTCACAAACCCTGGTCCAAAATCCTTAGGCTTCCTATCTCGAGCGGGGTACCTCTTGGTGAGTTGCTCGTCTTCCTCACTCTCTGTTGAGTTTCCCCCCCGTTCAACCCTTTCTACACTGGTTGAGGTGTAGGTCTCTGTTACATCACTGTCTTCCACTGTGTCCACACTACTATTTTGATCAGTGTTGACATTACTCCCTTCAGTCTCTTCTGTGCCTACGCTACTGCTTTCTTCACTTTCATTACTCTCTTCACTTCCTTCTGTGCTTGTAATGCTACTATCAGTGTTTCCTTCACTGCTTTCGCCTTCTATGTCACTGTCGGTATTATTTTCATCCTCTTGGCCTTTGTTGCCACTCTCACCCCGTAACTTGCCTGAACCCAGTTGAATAGACGTAGAACCCACACTAGAAGCAGTTTTTGCTCTTGTTTCCCCTTTTCTTGAAGTGCCCGGGAAGACTGTTTCGTCAAAAACAACACTAATGGCACCGAAAACTTTTCTTGGCTCGTCTGGGTCAATCAGCCTGTAACCTTTTTGGTCCTCGCAGTACCCCACAAAAATACAGGCTTTCCCTCTATCCCCCAATTTTTTGCTCTTATTTTTAGGCACATGCACGAAGGCCTGGCAACCAAACACCCTTAGGTTACTCACATCTGGTTTGACCTTTGTCCATGCTTCGAACGGTACCATTCCACTCACTGCTTTGGTAGGTGAAATATTCTTTAAGTAGACGGCTGTGAGCAGCGCCTCTCCCCAGTAGCTGTCACTCAAATTTGATTCTTTGAGCATGGCCCTAGTTTTCTCCTGCAGCGTTCTATTTGCCCGTTCTGCCACTCCATTCTGCTCAGGAGTATGGGGTATGGTGAACTCATGGACTATCCCCTCAGATTTAAGGTAATCGTCAAAGATATGTGACTCATATTCTCCTCCATTATCTGAACGAATCGCTTTAATTTTTGATCCTGTCTGTTTCTCTACCAAGGTTTTGTATTCCTTGAAAAGATCCAGTACTTCCCTTGATTCTTTTGTTTTTAGGAGTCCCACAAAAGTATACCTTGTCCTGTCATCAATGAATGTTATAAAATGTTTATGCCCACCCAGGCTTACAGTCCCCATGGAGCACAAGTCTGAGTGTACTAACCCCAGAATATCACTTGACCTCTGTACTTGTTTACCCTGGAAGGATGCCCTTGTTTGCTTGGCTTTTACACAGACTGTGCAGACTGCGTCAGGGACATTCATTTTCTCCATGCCCTTCACCAAACCTTTTGACATCAGCTCTACATTTGTTTTTCCTAAGTGTCCTAACCTTTTATGCCACATGTCAAATGGCGCTGAATGCCCTGCCTTCAATGCACTAAACTCCCTCAGACCAACAGTAATTCTGTACGTACCATTTCTCTCGATTCCAGACAGCAGTGGCTTACCCACAACTACTACATCCTCCTTCCTAAAGATTCCACAGGTCTTGTCGTCGAAAATTGATATGAATCCTGACCTGCCAACACTACTTACTGACAGTAGGTTGTCTGACAATCCTGGCACATAGTACACATTTTTTATGGCCTCAAGTCCACTAGTTTCACTCACACTGATGTCTCCTTTTCCTTCGACATAGAGTTTTTCTTTACCTGCACATTCAATAGTCAGTGTTTCGCACCCCCTGTATTCATGCATCACCTCCCTTTTGTTAATCATGGTCTCAAAAGCACCAGAGTCAAAATACATTTCCAAAGTTTTATTTTTCTTTGATGCACAATCACTGGTTTGTTGACTAGCAGCCTTGGCTGCCAGCCGCGCCGTGCCAATGCTCCAGGTCTTTGGACCCGGACCCGAGCTTTCTTCTTTCTTCTCCTCGTCGGCAGAAACCTGCTGGGCGTTGTCCAGGAGCCGGCATCGTCCCAGGTGGAACTTGGAGCAGGTCTTGCACTGCACTCTCTTCTTTGAGTACGTCGTCTGCTGAGGGCCGCCATGTTGCTTGTTGCCGCTTGCTGGTCCACCGCCTTCTTGGATGTTGTCGCCGCCATCCGCGCCACGTTTGAAATACGGCCCGGCAAAGCGCGCCGACGCGGAGTCGAGCCCCCCTTCGGCTGCTTCTCTCTGGGACTCTTTTTGCAGCACTGCACACACATCTTCAAACTTGATGGTGGTGTCATCACCAACTTTGACCACACATGTTTTCTCCGTGAGCTGTCTCAGCACACTGTAACTCTTCCCAAGATTTTGTAGAAGCAGTATAGCGGCGAACTCGTCGTCGATTGGCTTGCCGGTGGCGGCAATCTGGTCCACTAGATTCCTTGCCTCCATCACGTATTCCGCCAGCGTCCCAAAACTTGCCTGTTTGGTGGCCAGCAGTTTGTTGGTGAGAGCGATCCGCTGGTGAACCCCTTTGTCTTCGAAGGTGGAGCAGAGTGTGCTCCACATGTCGAATGCCGTCTTGCGCGTTCTGACATGGATTATGAGCTCCTCGCTCAGCCCCTTGACGATCGCCATCCGGGCTCGAAAATCTTGCTCGTAGCCATCCGAGGCTGGGTTGTCTAGATCGGCGTCACTGGTGCGCTGCAGGATGTACGGCATCAACTTGTCGCACTGCAGCTGCATCTCCATTATGAATTTCCAGTCTGCCCAGTTGGAGGCTCCTTTGAGCTTTATAGTGCCTGCGACAGTCTGCTGTACCACGACGGTGGTGGCCTGGGTCGCACTTGAGTCTTGACTCGTTTGCCTTTCGGTATTAGGCATCTTGATTGAGTTTTTGGCGTGGTGGTCTTAACCTCTTCACCGCCGTGTCTGATTTCTTGATAAAGACTATCAGACTTGGACTTCCTTATCACCTTTTTTTATGTCTATTGCCTCTCTGCGCAGTTGTAGCGATGCTGGGCCCATAACCTGTTGGTTTTATCACTAGATTGAGCAGGATTAATCCAGATAAGTTTGGGAGAGGCACAAGAACAACGAGCACGATTCACAGTTCACACGGAAGTGCTTTATTCATTCTTTTCTTTTTCCGTACAGGATGTAAACTACACAGGAAGTATGAGGAATACAGCATTCATGACATGGAACTAGATATGAGAGATTAGTGTGGAGGGAACATTCAAATATTAAAATTACTTTTTACAATAGGAGCGACTTTGTGTGTGCTGTTTCTTGTTCTCCTCGTCAATATCTACATTTTCCGAACTCAAGTTGAGCTTTAACCACCTCGGTTCGGGAGATATTGGCTTTGAAAGATGTGACTTAGTAACGTATTGGCATGACTTTGGGACCTGCTGGGGCAATTCCACGCTCGCTAAGAG